GCGGGGTCCGCGTCTTCACGTCCCCCGTGGGGGCGGGGCCGCACCGCGCGCGGACGCGGGTCTCGGTGCTCCCACGCTGCTCCTCCTAGACCGCGGGCGAGCTTTGCTCTACTCAGAGGCTCCTACCCGCAGCATCTTTTCCCCCTAGCTCCCTCCAGCCAGTCTCAGTTTCCTCCTCTGTAAAATGGGCACGCAAGCCAGGCTTGGCGACACACACTGGTCACCTCAGCATTTGGAAAGTGGGGGCAGGAGAAGCAAGAGTTCAAGGCTGTCCTGGGCTACATGGACCCTGTTTCAAAAAGAAAGGAAAAAAAAAAAAAAGAAAAGAGGAAAATATCCCAGGACAAAATGAGAGAACTTTTTTTGGGGCAACTTTCATGAACTTCTTGAGCGGTGAATGGGCCCTAGATTTAAGAGGCCTGCCTGCCTGGGTTTTCCTTGCTGCGACCCTCTTTCTTGCCCTTTTTGGTACAGGGGTTGGGTTTCTCACTTTGACCCAGGAGCACTCAAAGCTTGGTTTCCTTCACTAATCAGGGTGGATAGCACAAGTGCAGATAATGGTGGTATAATGGTGAACCGGAAACCAACACCAGAGGGAAGTGGAAACTATCTTCCCACCCCCCCTCCTCTTTCCAGGGCCCTGTAGTTTCAAGGCGGCTCCCTTAATCCAGGCTCCCCTGGACTTTGTATGTCACTGTCTCCCCCTGCCTCTACATTCTGAATTCTGGGGTCACAGATGTGTACCTAGGGTCTCACAGCATAGCCCAGGCTGGCCTTGAATGTGGTTTGGTGGCCCTTCAGCCTCAGTCTCCCCAGTACTGAGATTACAGATGTGAGCCTCCATGTTTGGTCTTCCAGGGGGACTTAATGGCACTCAGCACAATGTGGGACATAGATAATGCACCAATCATCGGGTGACCTTTGGAGTTTCATGCAGGTTGGAGGCAGAGTAAGGATGTGAAGAAAACACACTCTTGGTCCCTAACACCTTGTACTTCTGGCTCATGGGAATACACATTGCAAATTTAAAGGCTAATAACCATGTGGGCAGTGTGTGTGAGACCCTGGTTTCCCCCCGGGCCTGGAAGGAACACCTCCACATGGATCGGCATCAATAAATTATATTGAAATATTACAGCTATTATGGGGAAATGGGCTAGAATTTCCTCAGGAAATAGAATGAACATAAGAGCTGTCAATCGACTACTAGGAATATTCCTGTTGGAAAGGAAACCAGCACGTTAATCAGGAATCCCTGATGAGAGCAGTGGTGGTGGTGTATGGCTTTAATCCCAGCACTTGGGAGGCAGAGGCAGGTGGATCTCTGTGATTTTGAGGCCAGCCTGTTCTACAGAGATAGTTCCAGCACAGCCAAGGCTACACAGAGAAACACTGTCTTGAAAAAAAAAAGAAAAAGAAAAAAATTAGCAAGTATGACATTCTAATTATGAGGGTTACGAGGTGAGGAGTAACCAAGGACAGATCTCAGAATTTGGGGCCAGCCTAGGGCCAGCCTGGTCTATAGTTCCAGGACAGCCAAGACTATACAAAGAAACCTTGTCTTGAAAAACAAACAAACAAAAAAAGACAGAAAGAAAAAAGTGCCTGATGCTTGCTTCTGTGTGCATGTGGCATTGTTCACAAGAGCCATGATGTGGAACCCACCTACATGTCCATTAGTATGTGAGTGGATAAAGAAAATGTAGTTTGCACACATCATGGAATATTACTTACCCATCAAAAAGAAGCCTTATTATTTGCTGTAATAGGGATAAGGCTGTTGGACATTATGTCAAGGTAAGTAAGCCATTTGACCTCAGTCAGTGGAGGCTAAAGAAATTGATCTAGAAGCAGTAGCAGGTGGGACTGTTGGAGAAACCCTGGTCAAGGGTTACAGTGTACCGTTAGAATGCAAGAGTAAACTCCATTGTGCTGACTACTGTTTCAAAATATTTAGAAGATACCTGCAGACTCACAGGAAGAAACATGTTTGTTGTGAAGGCTACACTAATGCGCCATTTCTATCATTATTCCATGGTCACAGGTGGTAAAGCATTACAATGTAGCCACCCCCCAAAATGTGCAGTTATGTGCCAATGATCCCAGCACTTGGAGGCAAAGGCAGGCAGATCTCCATGAGTTTGAGGCCAGCCTGGTCTACAGAAAATAGTTCCAGTATATCCAGGGCTATACAGAGAAACCCTGTCTTGAAAACAAACAAACAAAAAAAGAAAGAAAGAAAGAAAGAAAGAAAGAAAAAGAAAACAGCAAGTATGACATTCTGACTATGAGGGTTACGTGGTGAGAAGTAAACAAGGAGGGATCTGGTTTGTGTTCCTCCAAGAGCACAATAGATTTAGGAACTAGACACATGCCAGATGCCTTTGGTAGCACACACATTTGTGGTTTGGCTGTTGTCAACCCTGCTCCATCAAACTTTTCTCAGAATGCATCTCCAGACAGAGATGGAGGAGACTGTTCAGGGCTGTGCTCAGGTGAATTTGGTGAGCATGGAAACTGCAGGCTGGGACTGGACTCAGTGGGGACAGCACTTGTGTAGCATGGAGTCCTGGGTCCCATCCCAGCACTGAACTGGCTGAGGTGGTGGTGGGGAGAGCATTTAAAACTTGCCTGCTCAGTAAGACTCTTTTATCTTCAGGGAGGATGGGAGGAAGATGGAAGGATTAGGACCCCGTGGACAATCCTTTTATGCTTTCATGGATTAGTGTGTGAATTAATGGGTCATTTTATAGCAGCTGAGATATTTGAACCAATCGGTCTGGGACTTGTACATGTGGTCTCTCCCTCCCCTCACCCCCTTTTGTTTTTTGAGACAGAGTTTCTCTGTACAGCCCTGTCTGTCCTGGAATTAGCTCTGTAGACCAGGCTGGCCTGGAACTCACAGAGATCTACTTGCCTTTGCCTCCTGAGTGCTGGGATTAAATACATACTGCCAAGCTTTTTTTTTTTTTTTAATCATTGATTGACTGTGTTGTGAGTGTGTCATGGCAGGAGTATGGGAGTCGGGGAAACTTGGGGGAGTCAGTGTTCTCCTACCACATGGAGTTCAGGGATTGCATGTAGGTGTTCAGGCTAGTCAGCAGAGAGTTTTACCTGCTGAGCCCTCTTGCCAGCTTCTCAATGTTCTTATCTCTTGCCATGTGATGCCCTGGCTGCCAGGGAATACAGCCAGCAGGGAGTCCATCACCAGATGGGCACCTGTTCCATGACCTTGGATGGGAATCTCCATGCCAAAATAATCTGTGGTCTTTTTAGCTTAGTCAGTCTCTGCCAGTGAGTTATCAGCAGCAGAAAGCACACAGGATTCCCAGTGTTAGAGAGTAAGAAAATCATGTATGTGTGGCCTACCTTATTTTTTTATTTTTTATTTTTTTAAGGGCTGGGTATAAACCCAGGACCTCACACAGTCTACACAAGGTATTTTAGCTGAGCCACATCCCAGCCCCTCACTGGGGGATTCTAGGCAGGGTCTCTACCACTGAGCAATGCCACAGCTCTAGATTTTAAAGGGAGAATTCTTTGCACAGAGGACAGTGAGTGCACAGAGGGACAGCAAGCACAAAGGTTTGTGGTAGAAATCGATATGGGTGTTGAAAGGACACAAAGGAAGCTGTTAAGTCCAGATGGTGTGAGACAGTGGTGGGTGACAGGCACTTCATGCATGACATCCATTTAAAACTGGGGCAGAGAGAAATACCCCACTGGATGTCACAGGCTGAATTCTTTATTTGAGGACAAGCCAAATTTTCCAGGCCTCCTTGAAGAGTCTTCCTCCCTCCCTGGTCTCAGGACTATGTATTAGAGTCTGGCCTGGGTGGAGGAGAGCTGGTTTGGTTTGGTCACTTTGGCTGAGGGACCATGCCTAGGAATGGGCGGGACAATTAATACTTTAATGAGATACTGGACTTTTTCTTCCCAGCATCCTCTCCCCTAGTGCAGAAGCTTATGGACAGCAGCCACGAAGGGTCCTAAGTCTGTCTGCTGTGGTGGTTTGAGTGAGGTTGGCTCCCATAGGTTCATGTATTTGCATGTTTGGTTCCCAGTGGGCTGTGGGAAGGATTAGGAAGTGTGGCCTTGTTGGAGGAGGTGTGTCACTGGGGGTGGACTTTGAGGTTTCAAAAGCCCATGCCAGGCGCAGTGTTGCTTTCTCTGTCTTCTGCCTGAGGTTGAGGACATAGATCTCAGCTACTTCTCCAGCACCATGCCTTCCTGCCACCACCACCCTTCCCACCATGATGATAGTGGGGAAACCTCTGAAATTGTAATCCAGCCCCAATTAAATGATTTCTCTTTATTTCTTCCTTTCTTTTTTTCTTTTGGTTTTTCGAGGCCAGGTTTCTCTGTAGCTTTGAACCTGTCCTAGAACTTGCTCCACAGAGCAAGCTGGCCTTGAACTCACAGAGATCCACCTGCCTCTGCCTCCTGAGTGTTGGGATTAAAGGTGTGTGCCACCCCCATATGTTTTCTTTCATAAGACTTGCCATCGTCATGGTGTCTCTTCACAGCAAGAGAACAGGGACCATGACACCATTTTTCTAAATTATTCCAAAAAATGTAACTTTTCTTCTATGTCTTTTCTAAACATGCTTTCCTGAGCCTTGGGGTTTCCCCTCAGTATTTTCAGTTTCCTTACTTACTCTGAAGCTCGGCACTTCCCCCATGTGCCTGACTTTGGTGGCGTGGCATTTCCCCTTCTCCAGCCTCCTCCTCTGGCCCACAGCTGACACTGATATTTGACTTTTTCTCCTAACAAACCATCCTTGTGCTCCATTTCAGTACTCTCCTTTTTTTATTTTTATTTTTTTTTTTTTGGTTTTTTGAGACAGGGTTTCTCTGTGTAGATTTGGAGCCTATCCTGGCACTTGCTCTGGAGACCAGGCTGGCCTCGAACTCACAGAGATCTGCCTGTCTCTGCCTCCTGAGTGCTGGGATTAAAGGCGTGTGCCACCAATGCCTGGCCGAGTCCTTTCCTTTTAAAATTTTATTTAACTTATTTTGTGTGCATTGGTGTGAGGTGTCAGATCCCCTGGAACTGGAGTCACAGACAGGTGTGAGCTGCCAAATGGGTGCTGGGACTTGAACCTGGGTCCTGTGGAAGAGCAGCCAGTGCTCTTAACTGCTGAGACATCTCTCCAGCCCTTGAGCCCATTGTTAATTTTTTTTTTTGAGACAAGGTTTCTCTGTGTAACAGTCCTGGCCATCCTGGGACTCACTCTGTAGACCAGGTTGTCTTGGAACTCACAGAAATCCACCTGTGTCTGCCTCCCTAGTGCTGGAATTAAATGCGTGCACCATCACTGTCCAGCTCTTAAAATCTTTTATTAATGAGACTAACACCCCCAAAGGGGGACCCAGTTTCCTCTGTCTTTGCAGCCGTGGTGGTTACATATTCTGAGCCGCTCCAGTGTCTCCTGTCCCATAACCTCTTTGTTGGCCAATGCATGAGGAATATCTTCTTGTCCAAGAAGTAAGTGTTTGAGTGGGAGGCATGGAGATGGGAGAATAGTCAAGGACAGCCTGCTGTCCCTCCCCACCTGGACCACCTTTCCTGCTCCCCTGACTGTGAGAATCTCAGTGTGGGGGCTGGGCTGGTCACTCTCTCAGGAAAGGGCTTGTCAAGCAGTTGTGAAGACCGCAGGGCTGGATCTCACAACCCACATGAAAGCCAAGTAGTCATGGCAGTGCCTTGAATCTCAGCACTCAGAAGGCAGAGATGGGACCCTGGGGACAAGCTGGCTAGATGGAATAGCCAGGACCAGTGAGCTCTGGGTTAAGTAAAAGGCTCCACCTCCAAGTACAAGTGGGGAGGAATCTACTTCTGGCCTCCAAAGGCACATGTACTCCCTCCTCCATGGATCCACACACATGTGAGCACACATGCATACAAGAAATTCATTATGGAGTATGTCCAATACAAGGTCTCTTTGGTCTCCTAGCTGCTAGCCCCTATGACTGGAGATTTTGGGGGGAAATGTCCCCCTTTGCCTGTCCACTGCCCTCTGTTGGATAACTGAGTCCTAACACACACACCATCCCCACAAGCATGAGGGTCCCTGGAGTTGTCCAGTGCATAACCTGTGCCTCCACTCTAGACAGAATTGGCACCCAGACAGAATGAACTGTGGAACCAAGGGCTGGGCTGGAGAGGGGAAGAGCACTTTACAACCTGGGGTTGGATTTCCAGTGATGACTGGCCCATGGTGAGGTATGATGCCTGTTCTTGCAGTCCTAGGGAGCCTTGGCAGGTGGTGTGGGTGACGAATTTCTTCTTGTGGTGTGACATGACAGGGTCTGTTCCTGGAAAGGACACAATGCCGGTATGGCCCTCCCCACAAGGGACTTCCACTCCTAGGGTAGGCTGCGTCCCATTTTCTTGTCATGTGGGTCCTACCTGCCTTGAGGATGGCTTGGAGTTGTATCATGTAGAGATGTAGGGGTTCAGGACAGGCCTGTGCAGCCCCCAACTTGACCTTGTGCTCTAGGGGGAGGCACAGAGTGGCAAACGGCATTGCTATCTGGTTGCAGGCGGGAGCCACCGGTTCCATACTGCTCACCCACACACATCAAAGTGCACCCCTGCCTCACCTGGCATTCCTCCTGATATCTGCTGTCATCCTTCCTCAGGGAGGCACACAGTCCAGCAAGGTCAGGTGGAGGCCGCTCTGATGCTGGAGTGGCTGGAGGGCATCCCTCCACACCTCTGCATCTGCTCTCCATCTCTCCAACCACTTGGCTTTCCAGATCTTTGGATCCACCATTGCTGTGCAGGGCTCACTCCTATCTTTCTTTTTGACCTCATGTAGCACAGGCAGGCTTTGAACTCACCATGTAGCTGAGGATGACCTTGACTTTCTACTCCTGCCTATCACACCCTGTTTATTTGGTGCTGGGGTGGGGGGTAACCCAGGGCTTTCTGCATGGTTGACAAGTCTCAGTCCTGGCCTCAGCCCCTTTCTCTTCTGATAGACAGTTGGCCTTGCTTAGAATGGTGTCCTTCACTTCAAGGATAGAGGCTGGTATTCAGCAGGTGATTAATAATGCTTGTTTTGGGATCAGACTTGGGCAAGGAAGAACATGGAGAGGCCATTGAGACACTTCAGTGGGTAAAGTAACTTGCAGCAAGGTTGGTCCTCCTGCCTCAACCTCCCAATGCTGGGATTGCAGATATTTGCCCTGTGCTGTTGTAGAGTAGTGTCCTCTGACTTGAAGTAGTCCCTTCAGGTGAGGCAGGAGAGGGTAAACAAATTGCATATCTAGGAAAAATTAAATGTACACGATTTACCAGGGTCCTTCCCAGAGACATGGAAGACATGCACACATGCTGCGGGAGGAGACGGTTTTCTGGCCTGTGCAGATGCTTGCACATTGTGCAGAGTTCTGCAAATGCAGCGTCTGTGAGTCATCGCCTGTGTTGGGTTGGGCTTTTCGGTTATGTAGCTACTTGGAGTCATCCCTGCTCCATGTGAGTAACCTCTCACCCAAACTCCTGTTAGTAACCCAGTGAGTTGTTACTTTGTCTGCATTGGTTCCCTTTCCAGTGTGTGTGTGTGTGTGTGTGTGTGTGTGTGTGTGTGTGTGTGTGTGTGTTGTGTGCTCCCCAGGAAAAGTCTCTCATATGACATGACCAACGAGGAAGGGTATTTTTCTGGCTCATAGAAGTGCTCCTGTGACCAAGAAATGACCCAACCATGTAGCTGATGCTCATAAATGTGGGCTAAACAAAATTATGGTTACTCCCAGTGGGAAGCAGTTAAGTAACCCAGTAAAGCAGCAGCTGGAGGCTGGAGGCACAGCTCACTGTCAGGGGCAGGTTGCAGAGTTACATTTACCTAGAATAGGTAGCAGATCTCCTTCCAGGCCTCCGAGGATGCATGGTACACGGTCAGGATCCACCAGGCAGAAAGGCTTCCCATGTTTGTAGCCACATGGGGCTGTTCTTCTCAAGCCCCACCTTAGCTTACAAGACTCTTGAATATCCAGAAGACCCATAAAGGGCTGGTGAGAGAGCTCAGTGGATAATGGTGTTGCCACCAAGCCTCATAAACCTGTTTGATATTTGGAACACACATGTAAGATAGTGAAAAGTAAAAGAAACTAAGCCAAAAAAAAAAAAAAACAGGGGTAGGTACAGTGGCGCACACCTTTAATCCCAGCACTCAGGAAGCACAGGCAGGTGGATCTCTGTGAGTTCAAGGCCAGCCTGGTGTACAAAGCAAGTTTCAGTCAAATCTATATAATGATACATAATGAAATACTGTCTGGAAAAAACAAAACAAAAAGAAAAGAAAATGATGGTGGAAGAGGAGGCATCATCGGTGCACTGAGGAACAAGGTCTCGCAGGCACTGACTGCCACACAAGAGTGAGGAGTAGTCCTGCTGCTAAACACCCTCCTAAGTTTATGACAGCTTTTGCTTTGTTGCAGCACAGGCTCATGGATGTTAGGCAGGTCCTGCAAGGCTCACTGGGGATTCAGGGTAGGTGTGTGCTGCTGAGTCCACCTTCAGATCACGGTGTGTGTGCTCTATGGCAGTGAGGCCACTGAGGGGGTTGATGGTGTCTTTGCTCCTGCCACCTCTTCGTGGAGTACACCTGTGCATTCCTCAGAACACTATCTTTGCTAATCACTCCTGGTAGACATTATTGTGATCAATGGTCCACTGAACATTCAAGGTTCTGTTGGGGATATTGATTTTGACAAAGACATTGATTTCAGCACTCTGGAAGGGGACAGCTTGTCTGAAGTGGATCAAGGCTTCAAGGGCCACAGCACGGTGGTCTGGGTGTTGGAACACAGGCAGCAGTTCAGGACCACAAACAGTGTCCCATCATACTAGGGCTCTGTCCAGCATCCTGAAGGGCTCAGAGTGGTTTGGACCTGGTGCATGAGCACTATTGGTGCTCCCCAATTCAACACCATGGAGAAACACTCGTGCATTGGAATGGGAACCCCAGTAATTTGGTGACTCCAGCTCTGCTTCCCAAAACCCCATTCAAGCATTACAGACAGCTGTGTGGGTTTCGAGATACACCAGCACCTTGGTTACCACACCCTGTCCCTGTCCCCAAGGTCCTCAGCATTATGGATGTCCACAGCCATGCTCCTCTAGGCCCCAATTCAGCACCGTGTACAGAACTGTGGTAGCTCCCTTCAGATAGGGCTGGATGAGCTAGCACCTGTGCTGGTCCCTCTTTCTCAAAATCCTTGTCAGCACTGCGGACAGCTCCCATGGGGCACCTTGCCTTAACACCCACTCCCTGGCAGTCTACTCAGGACCACGGACAGCTCCTTGCCTTGCCGTGGGTCTGGGTGCATCAACACCTTACTCCCAGTTCCTGGCTTCCCCAGTTTGTATCACCTGGGTGGACCCAAAGCTACCTCTCAGCTCCCACTTGTCAACCAATCGCTCTGCAATAGCGTGTGTCTTACTGTGCAGACCTAGCTGCAGCTTCTGTATCAGTGCCTAGGCTGTCAAAAGAAGATGGGGTTTGGTCCCGCTTGTCCACTGGCCAACAGCTTTCATCGGCAAGAGGCACATGTATCCATTTATGCAGATCTGGGCTGCACAGCTTCACCTGTTCTGAGTCACCTAGCCTCATTTCTTTTTACTGTCCTTTAATTGTTTTTGGAGAGGGGTCTTACGTAGTCCAGGCTGGCTCCAAATTCACTATGTAGACACTGTGAACTCCTGTCCCTTCTGCCTCTACCTCCTGAGAGCTACAGGTGTGCACCACTACACCCAGTTTGTAATGTTCTGGGAAAGGAACCCAGGACTTTGTGTACAAAATGCATATCCACATATCCAGCCCTGTTTTGTTAAAATTAATTAATCCATTAAAATGTTTTTTTTTTTTTTTGAGACAGTGTAGACTTAACTGTCCTGGACCTCACAGAGATCTGCCTGTCTCTGCCTCCTGAGTACTAGGATTAAAGGTGTGCGCCACCACCTCCTGGCTAAGGGTTTTTTGTTTATTTGTTTTTATAATGTTTGTGAGACAGGGTCTCACCATGTAGCTCAGGCTGTCCCAGAAGTCATGTATTGATCAGGCTGGTCTTGAATTCACGGTGCTCTTCCTGCCTCAGCCTCTTGAGTACTGGGATGGTAGGCAAGTCTGTCTCACCTGCAATTTACGAAAAACCCATCACTAAATGTGGACAACACTAATCATGTTACAAGATAGGGCTCCAGCTACTCAGATGCGGATAACTGAGGTTCAACAAAGATCCTTGAAGTCCCTTCAATTCCAGTGAAAGCACACTTCCCTAATTTCACTCTGGACATGAGGATGGAGAGGACAGGAAGTAGCTATTTGGGGGTCATGGGGGCTGATCCTTCTGAATAACCCATATTTCACGGAGTTCAGTTAATCTTTGACCATGTTATGTTTTCTCCTCCCACATTTCTTCTTCCAGCCCGTCTCAGTTCCTTCCTTTCACCCCTTTCCTCTACTTCCTCCCCATTTCTCTTTCCTTTTCCTCGACAGGGCATCACTATATAGCCCAGGCTGACTTCCAGCTCCGGCTCTTCCTGCCTCAGCCTCCCATGTGCTAGAGGTCTGGTGTGTGTGATTGTGCCTAGCTGCATCTGTGCGTTTAGTGGCCACCCAGCCTCCAATCTCTACGTCCCTCCCCATCGTCTCTCTCAGCCAGTGTCTGTCTCCATTAGCGATTACACACTGGTGTGTTTGCCAACTGCCTGCTTTCCCGGGAGATGGCGGGACCTTGGAAGACGAGTACCCTGTGTATCTTACTTGTCTTTGCCTCTCAGGGTCTGAGCTTGAGAGTTGGCACATAACAGTTTCTCAGTAAGCACTGACAGCTCACATAATGTTGTATTTGAAGTGATGTTTGTGCCTACCCTGGGACTTTTAGTGTGGTCAGCCACCCACATGGCTGGTGAAGCTGTCTGAGTGGTAAGTTGGCTTGGGGGCTGAAGATGAGAACCAGTGTGTATGAGGCTATAGCTGCAGTAAAGTTCTCTGAATGGTGTGTGTGGGTGTCTCCAGAAAGCTATCAGCTCCCTAGATGCCTCTAATCAAATTCTACAGAGTCAGAGGGAGGAAGTTAGAAGAGGCCTCTGGAGGGGTAAAGAAGCTCCAGAGGAGCTGGAGGATGGGTATCTATACCGACGCCATCCCTGGGCCACACAAATGGACCCCTTCATCCAGAGCAATGAGAATGAAGGCTGTGAGGGGCATGTCTGCTTCCGAGCCCTGGTATCCATCCTGGGTGTGGAGATTCACACATGTGATCTCTGGAGCATTCCAGAGACACTTAGCTGAGTTTTGAAATGTTCTCAGGCACCTGTAGGGAGTAACCCTAGCCCCGCCCAATAGTCCTGGGGCAGGTACCAGGTGGACCTGGGGACTCGCCCATAAGGGCGGGGTGAAGGAAAGCCGGCATGACGTAAGAGGGGCTTCTTAAAGGACTGCACGGGGGGACCGCGCTCTCTCTTTGTTCTGGCTGCGCTGGCTGGGTTCTTAACCTAGCTCTGGCCTGTGTAACACCC